GAAGAGAAGAGAAGAGAAGAGAAGAGAAGAGAAGAGAAGAGAAGAGAAGAGAAGAGAAGAGAAGAGAAGAGAAGAGAAGAGAAGAGAAGAGAAGACTTTACTATCTTACAATCAAACTTTAGGAACACACGTGGGGGGAGGGTCTTGGGACATTAATGACCACGGCTGACATAACTCAGATCCATTTACTTCACTTGCTTTAAAACAAATATGACATATTGATGCCTACTAATTCTGCCATGATTTAAAGACATTCTTGTGCTCATTCCCCTCCGTGTCTCGGTGAGGCTGTGGATGAAGAGAGACATAAGTGATTCTAGTAGCGTTTGTATAGTTTGTCACTGTAAATCACATGACACTATGGGTAACATTATGCACAACAATAACTCACTCTGGTTATGTGTCACATTAGCAGATGGTGATGCTGTTGAGCGGGTGTGTGCATATTTGTGTGTGTGTGTGTGCGCGCGCCTGTGTGTGTATACCTCTGTTTGACGGGCAGGAGGAGAGTGAAACCACAAAGCTGTTTATCAAACTCATAGGAAGTGGGTGTTGTTAAGCGAGGACGTGTCGCGCCACCACATCCTGCTGCTGGAAAGCAGCTTCAGATGGGACAGTGTTCACACAATGTACAGTAAACAACAAATGCAGACCAAATGCCGTTTATGTGTGTATATGCGTGTGGTATGTGACCACCTAATTCTTCCTCAGAAACAATTTTTACACTGATTGCACAGCTATGATAATCTGCTCATTTGGCTATACAAGAGTGTGAGGAGGATGCATTTTGGGTGACCTGTTCAGAGATGTAAAAAAATTAAATAAACATTTATTCGCCCTTATCAAAAATTTGCGTTTAACACACATGCTGTTACACACACTCACAGATTTCTTTTAAGTCACTGCCGCCCACAAACCATGCATGTCTCTTCAAAATGCCGAATAGAAGATGTGTTGATGGAGTGAAATGTTGAAGTGCAAAGGCAATTTTTCTGCAGAAGAGCAGTGTCACAATCTCAAGTTTGCCTCGAGAATATGCCCCAAAATGTTGAATGATGCACACCGGATGTTCTTTTTTGGTCTTTTTTGTTGGTCATCATTTGCTCTGTTCCACTTTTTAGCGATTTAGGTGTAGTGTTTTGGGTCAATGCTTCAGAAATGAAAGGTTAAAAAAGATCCCCGATGGTGTCACCGAGTGTGTAAGGGATGAATGATTCAGCGCTATCGCAGTCAGTGCTGTATCACACACCTGCTGCTGTAGGTTTCTGTCCTCTTTTTACTCACAGAGTCTCTGGGGAAGTGGCTGCGTTCTGTCATCTAGGGAGTTTTCCTCTTTCTCTCTTTCTTTCTTTATGTTTCTGACTCTTTCTCACAGGCCCACACACGCACATGCACACACATACACCACACACACACACACATGCAGCTGTATCTGACCACATGCACAGTTATAACACAACAGGATGTTGTAGGGTGGATGTTTGAGGTGTGAAGGTTCACACAAGCTGTGACAAACAATATCTGTTTCTCAGAACAAATTATTCATTATTCATACGTCTAATAGATGCTGACATTTGTATTTTTACTTTTTTTCACCTCTATTTTTTTATTGAAGCACATAGACCAGGTTTTGCACACCATTTTTTTTAAACTACTGACTTACTGCTAAAGCATCAGCCACACATGGTCCACAAACATGCTTCACTTTGCCCCTTTCATTCTCTGCAGATGTCTGTAGTGACAAGACAATAAGAAAGCAGAAGGACAAACAGAAGGACAATCATTATTTTTCCGTGCTGCTGTGTGTTTACAACCAACGCAGAGATTTGTCAAATTGGTGCTGTCAGTCCTGGGCTGCATTGTTAGATGCCAGAGCTGTCAGTCTGAATTAATATTAGGGCAGAAATGTTTTTGTTCACCACTGTCTTCCTCAGGCATCTGAAGCATCTGCGTACACCGGGGCTTGTGGACGACTTCAAGATGAGCCCACTTGATAGCTGAGCTCGTACGGAGCCAACATTATGATAATGTCCTTATAAGTAGCAGGGGGATGGGCGCAGTGTCATCTCTTCACATAGACAGAGCCAGCGGGGAGTCCACAGTCAGCTGCATTTAGGGCGTCTTTGTTGTTGTCGTAGCACCCATCTGTATTGTTGTTTTGTTCTGGTCTGTGTCTTTTCTCAGACATCATTATTGCTCTCATTAGAAAAATCTCTATCGCAGCCTCAAATGGGGAACAAAGTCTCGCAGTGTTTCTTTTCCTTTCCTTTGTTTGTCTGCGTGTTTGTGCGTGTGTACATATTCTCTTGAATATGTAAGTCTGGCTGTATTTGCAAACTACATGTGGACACTTAAATCCTTCAAAGAGGCTGAACACTCTGTGCTGAGCTCCCTTCTTTTAATGCTGTACATACAGAAAATATTCCATTGTTTGCCTTACCTCTTATATAGGCTTATTTGTCTTCTAGTTTGCAGCAGGGTGTTGTAAGAGAACTTTGGGATGAAAGAATATGTGAAATGTAGCACCAAGATTAATTCAAAACCCACAATGGCCACAAGCACAGTGAGGGAAGTTATAGTTGGAAGGCAAAGGAAGAAAAGGCCACTCTGATTTGTTTGTGCGTATCAGGATCTGGAGAGATGGCCCCAGTGGTGTGCTATCCAAAGAGCCATTTACTTCATTAACCCAGTCAGATCACTGAGGCCTCAGTAATCAACCTTGTCACACGTCCCATTAACTTCTCATTCCATCAGCACGGCCCTCGCACCTTCTGACACACACAGACATGCGCATGTGTGCACAGATGCACTTTGGTTATGCACATTTGTGTCTGCATCACACACAACTGTGTTTCTTTATTTCCCCCCCCCCCTCACTGATGCCCATATACACACTCCTTCTCCCACTCTCTCAGCTCACCCCATTACCTCCATCAGTCCCAGAGGTCTCGGAGCTCTGATGAGCCCGCCGCTGCCCTGCGAGATTAGTGGACTCCCTGAGAGAAGCCCCTCGCTGATTGACCGTGAGTCTCGGCTGCTCACAATGTCAGCTCAAGGTTAGTGTGTTCACTCACGGCGCAGTCAAGCTGCGTAGCTCTGTTATGAATACAAGTGCGTTATTAGTATTTTACCTCTGCAGATGCCAGCGATTATAATATTTATAAAGATCCCCAAATCAATTACTGCCATTCACCTTTGCTTTCCCTCTCAGCTTTTGCATCTCTGCTTTGCTCTCTAGTGGCCCCCGCACTTGAAACATTTGCCAAAGCATTTATTAATTAACTTGTTTTTTTCTCCCCTCCTACTCCACGTCTTCATCTCAATCTTTCAATCTCCCCTCTCCCCATTGATCAAACCACAGAGGAGCCCAGCATTCGGCTAAAGTGGTTTGAATTCACTGTTATGTGCTGCACATTAAGCACAGGGAAGCATTTACTTTGCATCCCACTTGAGGGAATGAAGATCTTCCACACACAAAATGGCAGGGAGAGATGAAGGAATGAGGGCAGCTCTCGGTCTGTAATAGAGCGTCACATAAGTGGCTGGATCCGTAAGACAGATTGATCTTTTTATGTTGAACTTGATGAGCATGAATGATGCACCAGATTTCCTGTAGCGGTGAATAGAGATGAAAGGATTATCCAGATATTTAGATCATTCAGGCAGGAACGTTGCCCTGCACTGCTGTCTCTTTTCTCCCCATCATAATTCAATATTTACAGTTTAAGCTGGAAAACTGCTCCCTCTTGGCCGCCTGTATCTGGTATCCATGGAAACAGATTTGAGAAGAGAGTGCTGTCTTTATGTGTCCGGGCGCGTGCGCCCGCATATGTGTGTGTGTGTGTATGAGAGAGAGAGAGCGAGAGCGAGAGTGTAATGTTTACTGATACACTGCAATTGATTGGTTGTTGGGGAGCAGCTGTTGACCCCTCTCTCTCAGGGGTCTCTTTGTGTTCTTGCACACAACCCAGATCAATAGACACACACGGATGTGAACACAGACACACACAGATTTTGCTATTTTAAATTTATTCTAGAGTCAGTTTCTGTTTCTCTCCTCCAAAACCCATAAAAATCACCCCTTCCCAGATTAATTCAAATTTAAAGGTAGCCTTGACTCGTAGTCAGAAACCTGAGCCTTATTTTAATGAATATGTTGAGCAGATCATGCCAAATCTGTTTAGAAATCCTGGGACT